GGGTTTGCAATGAATGGTTTCATTCTGATTGGTCTTGAAATTAAAATCTTTAAAATTTTATTATTTATAGAAGAGAGTAATAATCGTTATTTTTAGAAAAAAGAAGGCAACATGTGCGTGAATTAAACAACTGATTAATAACACTAAGCTTTCAACGATCGATTTAACTAGCTAATTAACTAGCTTTCAACGGTGAATTTATGATATATTTTGAAAGTATCACAGCCGTCTCATAAACGCAACTGCGTGACATGAAACGCAACCGGACCGTTGTTATGGTAAGTGAGAACTGAAAACAATTTAGGAAGTTTTCAGAAAGTGAAACACAAAATAAAAGGGCACATAGAACAAGTCATAGGACATGCACGATTGTGCAGTGTCTCCAACGTTACGGAAGCAATGTGATCTAATTTTGCGTATCCGACCACAGTGAAATCGCTGCACCGTGGTTGGAATGCCGTCACGTTGCCTGTTGATGCCTCTTAATAAGGAATTTGTTAACTTCATAGGTCATCTACATATGCTTCCGATCCGCGTTATTGTACATCGCTCTGGACACGTTAATGGATTGCACATCGCTCTCATTTAAAGATTATTTTCAATTTTGCTAAATGAGTTTATAAGGTCTATCATCGCCTGTAGAATCTGAAGCAAAATGGCGATTCTGTTTTGTCCCTCGGTTTGTGTAGTGTTTCCATCAGTTAAATTTATGTGGTGGCACAGCCTTCGTTTTGTCTTTTCTGAACACCTTGTTTGTCGAAATATGCTCATTTCACTTTGAATTAGAATACTCGTGCTCTTTCTGGAGGAAACCATTGCATTGTCTAAGAAGATACTTTTAAAGTGGCACTGGCTTCAAGGTGGTATAAAGTGAAAGGCAAGCTGGAAATTGCGATTCTATGCTGCTAACTTGATGATCGTATGAAGAAAGAATTAGAAGAATTAATATATTGAGGTTGTTCGACTGCGGATTGCGCCTTCTGATTCATTCCTCAATGAACCTAAAGTTATTTTAACTGAAGCAAGTTTTCTATCCGACGTCACGTTGCAGGCGGCTGTCGTTCTTAAGTAGAGCCAAGATACCTGTAGTAGTAGGTAGCTTATAGAAGACCCCTGCAAATTGGCGATCTCTGTCTAGAATGGTTTCTTTTATAAAATGCTGACATCGAATTTACACGATGAAAATGTATCATGCAAAGAAAAGGAGGTTTATCCCTTACTTTACAGCAAGTCTGCGGTGGTGTAACACCGATAAGTGTTATAAGCCATTGCACCGTGTTGTAGCGCAACACTGCACTGCCCTTGCATCTAATCGCCTACGGGAAAGGGTCGTTTAAGCAGGTTTCGGCTCTATGATATTTAAGCTCCTGGTGTGCATAGGACGGATGACCGCACCTCTGAGTTGGGTTGAACAACAAAGCAATAGAAGCTTATACTTCTGCAGTATCCGCGTGAGTAAAGGGAAACTCTTTTTAACACGTTACGTTTTCACGGTGCAAATGTGGTATCAGAATTTGAAACATCACATTCACCGGCGTTATTGTAATCTTCCACTGAAGGTGGAACATCGGGCTATATATTTTGCTTCAATGGCTTCGTTTATTCGTTCAGGTTGCGAAGACATCTTCCATGTGGTTTCTACGAAGGTTCTCCTCATCCGGCAATTGTTCAAGTGACAAGAATCTAAAAGAAACCTCGTACTTATGAATCTGAATACTTGCATCACATCTGAAGCCTTTAAAGCCACTTCTTCAGTTGGTGAGGAACAGTTTAACAAAGAGATCCATGTGTTCAGCGAAGAATCCTTTTCCTCCATGCCGGCAGCACTCATGCTTTGCTTCGGCTGACTCACAGACAAACGGCTTAAGCGAAAATCATGACAAATTATGCAAGCCGTTTCAACTCGCTTTTTATTATTTTAGGCCTTATGGCAATAGCGGATATTTTCTGTAACCACCTTCAACGGTAAACACAACGAAAGCACAATTCTTAGAACAAACAACACATGAAACGAATTTGTTGCACTCTTATTACTTTGGCCGGATTATTTCTTGGTTAAGTTACTGCAATCGTATGAACCCGGCTTGCAGCACGTGACACAGCTGCGCAGGCAGATCACGTCCCAGTATGGACAGTTGTTGCAGCAGTTCGGTGGCATCGCTGGGGCATCATTCACTATGTAGCAGTTTCGAAGACAAGTGTAGTCCTGAAAAAAACGTTTCGTGTTCGTCGTCGGTATTTGCTTGGATAGGCCAGTCGACGAACTTACCCAGTAGTAACACTGCGAGCACGGGACGCTGTGATGACCACACGGGTAGCCACTTCCGCTGACGCTACAGAACGTACAGATTCGCAGGCATTTCCAGTCGTACATCGGACAGAGGTTGCACGGCAAATGCGAGTGCGACCTTGGGTAATAGCAATTCGTCAAGCACGAGAAGTCCCACGACGGGCACTGATTGCAGTAGCTAGGTGG